TACTGCGCAGCTCTGCCACCCGTTTTCCACATGGCTGTGGGTATGTACTGCCTCCTGCTTGTCCATGAATTTAATTGTTCCTGATTTGCGTAGTGGTGTCGGCACCTTTATGTGTGTAAAAGACCGGGATGTTGACAAGGTTCTAAGGAAGGGCCCAAGTATAATTCAGACCTGGGTAAGCAGGCTGCAAACAAAACCACTGAGAGATAAACAGATGTGCTTTGGAATTTCATTGTCTGACAGGACCTGCCTATAACGTAATTTTCCTTGTTCTGTCTCGGCAATAAAAACGTCACAGTGTCTGATATGACTCCATTTAGCTTTAATGTTGTCTGAGGAATGCCATTAGAAAAGTGTGGGTTATTTAATCAGGATTGAATCCTAAATGTCTGCTTGTTTTCAGAAATGGTAGACAAAAATTAATAGAAGAGGACGAGAAGATGTGAAGTTCAGAAGCATTAACGTTTGCTCATATGCTCTATGTTAGTCTGAAGCATCCTCGGTGCCCGGGCTGTGGATGTTAGGTGAAGTCAAATCAGCAAAATACGCTCCTCTGGCTTTTGAAACTTAGTCTTTGCAGTCTTTCTGCAGATCAGGAATAGCTCTCTCAGAACGGAGGTAGCAAAGCATGTCATTAAAAGACAGAATATAATTGAGCAGAAAGAGATTGAAAACTGGTGGTAGGACTAAGGTCTCATGTCTTTCCAGGTACCCAGAGGAATCAAGGAGAAATTGTTTATCACAATTTCTTTGTTCCTTTTTGAGATTTCCAACCCAAAACCTCTAAAAGAGCAGACACCTGTCATCCCCCGTTAGGCTCTTTTCTTCTTGGGCTCCAAAGTGTTCCCACTGTTATTAAGAAATGTTCATAATTTAAGCCTTACTTTGCCTCTCTGGAGGTGTGTTATTATCAGGGGTTCCCAGCATGCCCTGTTACAGAAAGTCCTATTAATTTTGTTCCTCCAAACATGTAGGAATAGAGTATTGCTGGTGGTACTTGTCAGCTGGACTACATCCCATGCAAGCAGAGAGAGCCAGCAAGGACTCATTAGGCAACTTGGTCTTAGACATTGGCAATGCCATGTGTGGCCTGATACAGAGCAGCAGATGTTCTTCAGCACCTACAGGCTGAGGCCTCTGTTCTTCATTTTTTGTGTCAGATTAAAAAGGATCATTGGCAGTATTTATGGTCTTTGGATTTTCTTTCCCACGTAAGCGCTGTTGCTTTGCTGATTGTCTTTGGGTTCTGGGCTGGAGTGGTGAGTGGGGATAGCTGGATTTTATTTGTTTTCTGCTTCGGATTTGAGGCTGTCACCAGGTCAAGTATCATTCTTAGCAATAGAGAACTGGCAGATTTATCCCCTGTGCATAGCATATTACTTCAAGGATGCTCTCCTATAAGAGACTGCAGAGTTCCTCTCTCCTTTCTTAGTCTGTTAATGAAACAGCTGGACTGTGAATCTCCTTACTCACTTGGAGATTGAATCACAAGCCCTGCAGGCTCTAGTGAGAGGTTTCTGGGAGGGTCTCAAGCAGAACTGAGCTTCTCTGGTGGACTTGTGGCTTGAGCATGCACAATGTGGGGCTGGCAGGATGGGAGCTGATGCTAAGTGGCATTGTAGCCGGCTGTGGATGAAACAGAAAGTGGTGTACGTTGCAGTTCTACCCAGCTGACCATTTAACACCACAACATAGATGCACAGTCATTTCCTTTTGAATGACGAGTTCCTTGTATAAGTGCTGAGTTACACATGCAAACTTCCAGTCTTGTCTCTGCTGCTGTAAACTTGGAGCAACTCTAAAGCTAGTTGGGCCAAAGAGAATAAAGAAACTTTGCATTTTGAAATTGCTTGGCTTCTCATTCTGCTGAGGTTCCCTCAGCAGAACTAGAAAAATGACCAAGTTTATTATAAACGTAGTGTCATCCTTTTGGTGACTTCTGAGCTGTCTTTGAGCACCATTCATTTATATAGTTACTTGACGCCTCAGCCACATGTCTGAGGACGAAGAGTGAACTAGCTCTGAGCTACCAAATGCTATGGAAACCTATCAAGTGGAAAAGCCAGATGTGCATCTAGTATAGAGAGAGACTATATATTTGACAAAAGAGAGTATATATTTGACAAAACCAGGCAAGGAGAGGAAATGGAGAGTGATACATGCCCCAAAACACACCGTATTGCTTTTTGCCTGTATGGACAATTTCTGCTTCTTAGGATGTAACCAGATTAACCTTGATATTATTGTCTGGCAGGGTGCTGAGTCAGTGTGTTCCCATGACTGTGAAAATGTCAGCTATAGGGAATGGGAAGGGCATGGGTTTCTGCAGTGATGGAGGTCCTCAGAGTGGCTGAGCTAGAGCGCTGGGGTGTAGCTGTGGTAATTCTTACCCCCAGTTTCCAAATGCATCTATTTTAGGCATGAGGAATCTCCTCCATATGTGTGGTTTCAACTACTACCTTAACAATGACTTCCTGACATTTCGCCTGCCCTCCTGACCTTCTTCCAATCTCCTGTCTCCTATCTCTGATTCCCCCTCCCCTGCATTTCATCTCAACTGGTTTCCTGCTGGGAAAATGTACATCCTCCTCATTCTTCCCTTTCCCTGACTTTTCTCCTCTGTTGGCAGTTTTCCAGTCCAGCAGCCTTGACCTTATCTCCAGTTCCTTCCATTTCCTCCCCTTCAACTAACACTATCGGTGAACTCTCCATTTTCCTCTCCATCCTCCAAAGGCTAGCCATGCATCCTGCTGGATATGTTGTAATTTCTTTCCTTGCAGATCCTATAGCTATGTACAGCTCCCTCTTTTGTGGCCTCCTTTACGTATGCCTCCATACAGGAAGCTTCAATATTTTTTGTGTTATACAATACATGTGGCACATCACCATATTTGCAGGAATACTTTTATCTTGTCGATATGGTGATCTGTTAAGTATGATCATGCTCTTTAGAAAAAAAAATCTCTAATCATTCTGGTTTCATTTGCATTGTATAATGATTTTGAGAGTGATTACGATCATGGAAATGCTTTATAGCTCATTAGTGACTTTAGTTCTGTGAGGAAAAGCTGCTGCTGCCTGTTGTGTAGGAGACCTTGTGATCTACTCTTGTTTGGTCAGAAAGCTCTATTTTAAATGTTGTCAACAGCCAGGTCCATCAGAATTCCTTTTACTTTGCCAATTTACTCTCAATTCAGAATAAATATCGGATGTTAGACCTTTGCTTGATTTTTCCTGTGTTACTTCTAAAGAGGGCTGTAGGGAAGATCAATATCAAGTGTCGTTCATGACTACAAACTCCTGAGTATTCTGCTGTCAGTTGTCATGGTCTTGGCCATTTATGGAAAGAAGGCATCTTTCATGCTGAAGCCAGATGAATTACACACGTATTGGTGTCTTTGACGTCTGTGGGAGGCTGATTCTGGAAGGACTCTGTTGCATTACCAGCCCTGTGAGAAACTGGTAACCCATTTTGCAGTCTTAAGTCACAGCTATGCCCCAGTCCCTGGTCCCCAGCCTCTGTTTTTTCTATGTGACATTATGGACAGGATGGCTAAGGACGTGTCCCCGAGTGGCCACAGCTACAGCAAGCTGTAACCCTCTGCCAGCAAGTCCAGAACTATGCCCAGTGTATGAGTGTCTCTTAGTCTCTGTGTGTTGTCCATTTGTCACATCTCCTTGGAGAATTACTGTGGAATTACTAAATCTTATTTTGCTTTTTCTGCGATGCCTGCCTCTCAGTAGGAAGTTCTTGTTTCACCAGTTGTGAGTATATGGCTGTTGGTCATGACAAGGATTGAACACAGATCAGTAGCCTAGGCATGAATGACTCCATGCCTTTCATGCTATTTTTGTCTGTAGCCTAACGAATGGGCCCATCTTTTTCTTTAATGTATGCGCACGAACACTTTTATTAGTAAAAAGGCCCCAACAACTTAAAACATTTGGAAAGATGTGAGGTGGTGAAGTGCTCCTCCGTTCGTCCTCCTTTCTGACACAACTAGCTTGCTGGCCTTGGCTTAGAAGGCAAAGTGATGAGATGAAGTGTAAAACATGCTGTGTTTTCAAACGTGGAAAAGATGAGAAAGGAGTGTCTCGTGTTGTATATGAAAGCATTCTTGTGATGGTGCTACATGCTGCTCTGCCATCCTAATTTGCTTTCAGAGGCTCAGTATAATCATTCTTTGTATTTTCTAAAGGATGTGAAGACTAGAATTTGATCAATGGTTTCATTGTTGATTTCTCCCACTGCTACAAAGCAATGCAAAAATATTAGGGACAGGCAGGGTGCATCTCACTGAATAAAGATATTGTGTCTCTCATAATCCAAGTCGGACACATTTAGAAAGAGGGAAAGCCCTATGAAAAGCGCTTGCTTACAAGGCTGTTTGGACAGTAGAAATCTTTTGTAAAATAAATTTCGGCATCTTTCCCAATGGGATCCTTCATGCAGGAGGACTGGCCAGCATTTTGGAAACAAACCCGGCCAACATTAGGTTTGGGCATCTGCTTATTTTAAGGTTGCTTTGACAATTTTCTCTGTAGCTGAAGATTGGTACTTGATGTCTATGTAAAAATGTTGCCAGAAAAGCAATGAAGTTACACCAACTGTTTCTTTCACCAATGCAGCTTCTTAGTCCTTAGCAGTGACTGCTTTATGCTGGAAAATCATTTTGTTTGCTTTTCTCCCTTGGCTAGAAGGATGAGAACTTTTTGATCTTGTTCTTTCACAAAGTTATCCTAAGTGAGTGAAAAAGGTTTCTTGAATCAAGTTAGCTTTAAACTGGGGTGATCTCCTGCCTGAGTACATCTAGACTGAGTGATAGTAGGCTTAAATGGCATTAAGTCAAGTGACTTGTGAGGAAGGGTAGTGGTGTCTTTTGTCTTTGCAGGTGGCTGATGGAATTTGGGAGAAGCTAGCTTTCAAATTTTCTGGATATTTTCTTCCTCGTTTAAACCACCCAAAAGGAATTAGAGCATATCTTCTCTTATTTCAACAGGGACCAGCTCGCATGACATCTGATCTTGCATCTTCTCCTGCAGCAGGATACATGCCTGTTGGTCAGAAGCCAGAGGCTGTTGTGCACGCTATGAAGGTAAGGATGCTGCAGATCCCCACGCATCTATGCAGCATGGTGCAGTACAGTGGGGTGCGGTAGAGCTAACACTGAAGTGGCAGAACTAGACATTTCCTCCTCTCATGGAAACACAACAACTGGAAAGTTAGTGCTCAGGCAGATAGTTGGTAACCAGCACCTGTATCATGGTGAATAATCATCACTTCAAATAGTTGTGGAGTTATGCAAGATTGGGAGTGACTATTTTTTGGGGTGGGAATCCTCCAATAAAAGCTGCTGATGTTGAAGGTGTTGGTTACCCTTTCTGTTCATCAGTCCTGTGTAAACTGGATCTTTGGGGTGACAGTGGTGGCCAAAATGCTGTTTTTAAAAAGAGCAGAAAAACTGCAGTTCCTCCATGTGCTTTATTATTGAAATCCTGCAGCAGTCTTCAAAGGAGAACTTCTTTTTATATAAATACACAGCAAACCACAGCATCATACCCATGTAGATCTGTGTATCATCAGTGGGGATTACAGTCAGGATCATTGGCAATAAAACCCATGGGACACTGCTAGCTGAATTAAAGGAGAAAACTTGCACCATGGTTTCACAGCAGTTCTCAAGTGCTAGTGACCATCCTTTAGTGGAAAAATGTGATACTCTCATGTTTAACTAGCTAAGCAAGTTCCTTCTGAGTATCTAAGGGACACAAAAGCACAAGTCCTTTCCAGGGTGCTCTAGCAATGCCTGGAAAATCTCTTAAGTAAATTAGGCTCTGGTTGGAATATACTGATTTATAGATTTGCAGAATGTTGCAGATTCATGTGATACCTTTGTTTTTCTGACATTTTGTACTAATCCAGTTTTACTTGTGTTTAATCATCCAAGCCCTCATGCAGTCCAGACTACTTTTGCTTTTGGCTTTTTCTTCCCCAACTGTGGGGTTTGTACCTTTCTGCTCCTGCCCTTTGTTGCATTTGGTGGGGTGTTGGTGAGGTACAAAATTAAGCAAATTTGATAATGTTTTTAAGTTACAAGATCAAATAGTTATAAACTAATTATGAACACATTCTGGGGGGAAATCAGGTTCTTATTTGCTTTAGGGGTTATGTGACTGAATTTGTTAGTAATGGCAGGAAATAAACGGTTTTAAGATGTCGTTTGGTAAGCTTATGGAAAGGACAGGAAAATCAGTGAAGAAGATTCTTGGAAACTGGAAAGTAAGTTTGGGGGGTCTGGCACAGTGATGCATATACAGGAGCTGAAGTTTTATGGCTGGTTGGTTGTGCATATTGTTATTAATCCTCTTTTTCAGAACTTTGTTGATTGCTAGAAAGGGCTGGAAAAAATTAGAATCATAGAATTGTTAGGGTTGGAAAGGACCTTAAGGTCATCTAGTTCCAACCCCCCTGCCATGAGCAGGGACACCTTACGCTAAATCATATCACCCAAGGCCTCATCCAACCTGGCCTTGAACACTGCCAGGGATGGAGCATTCACAACCTCCCTGGGCAACCCATTCCGGTGTCTCACCACCCTAACAGGAAAGAATTTCCTTCTTATATCCAACCTGAATGTCCTGGGTTCAGCAGTAGCAGTCATGTTTTTCCTTTGTGTTAACTGGTGCAGTGCTGTGTTTTGACTTCCAGCTTGAGAACAGTGTTGGTGAAGCCGATGTTTTCGGTTGTTGCTAAGTGATGTTTACCCTGACCAAGGACTCTGTGAGGCTCATGCTCTGCCAGGGAGGAGGGGAAGCTGTGGGGAAGCAGAGACGGGGCGCCTGACCCGGGCTGGCCGGGGAGGTATTCCATGCCACAGCACGTCATGGCCAGGGTGGGGGGTAACTGGGAGTTACCCGGAAGGACACGGGCTTCCGGGTGGAACTCGCTTTCTTGGCCGGTGGTATCGTATTCTCTTCCCTTGTTATTTTCCCTTATCATTGTTTTAGCTGATAGTAGCGGTGGTGATTTGTTGCTGGACTGATCTTGTCTCAACCCGTAGGAGTTGCACTCTCTTGATCCTCCTCCCCGTTCCTCCGGGAGTGGGGAAGGGGAGAGCCCCGGGGAGGGGAGGCGGGGGGGGGGGGGGGGGGGAGACGGACACGGACCTCGATTGCTGTCAGCTCGGTACCACTCACTGGGAGTGAGTGAACAAGCTACCTGACTGGGTTTAAACCACGACACTAAACTTCCCCTGTTTACGTTTTAACCCGCTACCCCTTGTCCTATCACTACAGTCCCTAATGAATAGTCCCTCCCCAACATCTCTACAGGTCCCCTTCAGATACTGGAAGGCTGCTATGAGGTCTCCACGCAGCCTTCTCTTCTCCAGGCTGAACAGCCCCAACTTCCTCAGCCTGTCTTCATACGGGAGGTGCTCCAGCCCCCTGATCATCCTCCTGGCCCTTCTCTGGACTTGTTCCAACAGTTCCATGTCCTTTTTATGTTGAGGACACCAGAACTGTACACAATGCTGCAGGTGAGGTCTCACAAGAGCAGAGTAGAGGGGCAGGATCACCTCTTTCAACCTGCTGGTCACGCTCCTTTTGATGCAGCCCAGGATACAGTTGGCTTTCTGGGCTGCAAGCGCACACTGAAGCCAGCTCATGTGCATTTTCTCATCGACCAACACCCCCAAGTCTTTCTCCGCAGGGCTGCTCTGAATCTCTTCTCTGCCCAACCTGTAGCTGTGCCTGGGATTGCTCCAACCCAGGTGTAGGACCTTGCACTTGGCATGGTTAAACTTCATGAGGTTGGCATCAGCCCATCTCACAAGAGTGTCAAGGTCCCTCTGAAATTCTTTTCTGCAGTTTCATAATTTGTCTAGTGTGATATGTTTTTCTGTTTCCAAAACCCTGGAAGGCGCCATGACTAGAGTCAGGAAGCAGGTATCACAGCAGTCACATCTCATGGGCCATAAATGGTCTCACGTGACATGTCCTGCTCACACACTTATGTTTAACAATATTCTCATATTTGAAGGGAGGAGGAATTCTCCTGTAGGTCAGTATGGAAGGGAGGTGTTTAGTTTTCCATCCTGTGGCCCATTTCCAAGGGTCAGGTGGTAACTGAAAAGACTGAGGAAACTGGCCATGCTCTCAATCTCTCCTCCTCCTTTCTTGTAGCACAGTGATATTGTGGCTGTTGGTCTCCAGCTGCAGATCTTAAACTGAGTAGAAGATGACTTTTTTTGGCCATGGCATGCTGTAACATACGGAATAACTCTTCTTTGCACCCTGCAGAACTGGATAGCTTTTCCAGTGCCAGCCCCCTACATGTGGGAAACTGGATGCAGCTTAGACCCTCATCGCTTGTGATACAGTTCATGACCTTCCCTTGAGGAGAGAGTAGAGAAGAGAGTAGCCTACAAATGAGACTTGTGATGCGGATATAGCACATCAGATGTTAAGAAGTCTTCATGGCTGTAGCAGGCTTACCATGAGGAAAAGCAAAGAGAGATGGAAGTTGGCTTTGCTTGTCTCATGGGATGCTTGCATTCAAATCTGTCCAGAAGTGGTTCAGCTCTGTGCCCAAGTGAAGGGCACTGAGGGGCTGTGCACTCTGCACAGACCTGCAGGGCTTCTGGATTGCCCCATCTGCACCCATCTATGTAGTGTCCTGTATGTTTTTTCCTTGTTTTTTTTTCCTTTCTAGCAGCTGAATACTTGCTATGTGGCTGAAGCATTGTCTGCCATTTAGCATCAATAAGTTCCCCCTTAAGCACATTTAGGGGTTTTCTTTTATTTTTGCTTCTGAAATAGATTTTATTTGTGCCTACTAAATAAGGAGCAAGATGACAGGTTGGCACTCCTAACAGCTGTTTTTGCTAACAAGAATAAAAGGTACATATGCTACAGCTCAGTATCTCACTGAACATCAAAGCATTTTCCTTGGGAATTGAGAAAACCTCTAAAGATATGGGGAGCTGAGGAGGAGACATGTGTAAGAGAACGACATTCAGCCTATAACCCAACTTCCCCTGTAGCAGCAGCCTAGACCTTTTCCATGTGCACAGAGCCATCAAGCAGGTGATCAGTCACTCCTGCTGATCTTGTAATGGCAGGATTTGGTCCTGCCCAAACTAGGGAAATGTCCTAGCAGGGCATGTAGACTGTTCTCTTGCTGAAGAAGGATGCCGTGTTCCCCAGTGCTTTGCCCAGTTGATTTATAAATCAGTAAAAGCAGTGAGCCTTGCACCCTTTGGAAAGCATCCTTCAGTCTCAGAGTCCTTTCTGGTACAGAAATGCTTACTTCAACTTCCATCTTCCCTTCCAAAGCTTTACTACAGTCATCCAGACTCTCTGATGCATTTCATGGCCATGTGGGGCTAGTGCAGCCAGTCAGAAGGGAGGTGGATGTGATGGACTAGGTGACTTCGAGGTGACACTGCCTTGATCACAGACTTCAGTGCATGAAGGACAATTCAGTATACTTGAGGTGTTCCTCACAGTTCACACATCAACAGGGAGAAAGCCAGAGAAGCCACATGCTCACTGAGAGCAAGGTGCAGGTGAGCAAGGTGCAGGTTGTCTTCAGGACATGGTGTCCCCAGGCAGAGGGGCAGCATCACCCCAGTCCAGCCCCATCCGCCTGCGTCCAAGTGGAGCAGGCTGCTGGCGTTTTACCCAGGGCCATCACATCTCACCCATGTGTCTGCAAAGGGACAAGTGCTGTCAGGGCTCCTTGAAGAACAGCAAAAAGGAGGGGATGGCATGAGCCATTTTTAAGCCTGGGGTATGTTTGTCTGTTTCCTGTGGGCTCCTGGGTTGGGATGTGGCACAAATCATGGGAGGATATACCCTGGTTTCTTAGATCCATGCTGAATCCACAGTCCTTGAACTTTAGCTGAGCCATAGGCAATTTATGTGAAGGAACATCCGTAGTCCCAGCAGTGTAATTGGAGGAACATTAACCTGGTCTAAACAGCTGAGGAGGCGCCTGGCAGGATCTGAGGTTGGCTCTGGCTGGGTCAGCACTAAGAGTCCTTCCTGTCTTTCTTCAGGACCTGATTTCACTCATCAGAGTGTATTTTTGCTAGCATGCCTTTGCAGGCCAGGCTGTTGAGTTTTATCCCCCTGAATCACTTTTTCCCATACCCGAGATGCTAATACATCTTTGCAAAATGTCCATGTAGATGTGGGGTGTGCCTGGGGAGCAGGATGGTTTCCAGGGTAAATGAGTCCCGAGTTATTCAGAAATGAAATACAACCATAACTTCTGTCTGCTCAGCTCTCAACTCCAGCTCTGCCTGGTTCACACCATTAAAAGACATTTCTACTGAAAGAAATGGGCTTTGCCATCCTTCCACATCTCCTGGACTAGGGAATGTGGTTTTAGTTTAAGCACAAATCATAGAAAAAACGTTTATTTTTGCCCATTGGGACTCCCGTGCCTGCAAAATTGATGGCTGGTGGAAGCAGAGGCTGGAACTGATGTGATCTTTAACTAATCTAAACCATGGCTGTCCTTGACGCTTGCCCTGTGGACACAGCCAGTGCTTAGCTGCCAGCCAGGCAACCCTGGCGCTGTGCACAGGGATGTGATCCTGCAGGCTGCTGCCTTTGTAGCTGAGCACTGGAGACACACTGACTCCAGACGAGTAAGTTCGATGTGCCGGTCCAGCTGGATCCATAATTAATTCCTCCCTCCTGTTTAGCAAAAAATAGATGCTTTCTTTGTCAGCACACACATGCCTTTTGCAGCCCTTTTAGCCTTCCCCTCCTCCTAGAAAGGATGAGGGTAATTCTTACCTGTGCAAAGACTGGTCCCAGGTAGGTTAAGGGCCCTAGGAGAATGACCTGTTTTTGTCTGTAATGCAGTTCGAATACAGCAGGATTGTTGTGCTGAGGCAGACCGGGGAGGATAATCTACACTGGCATCCCATTTCATGGAGCAGCCAGTGCTGCGTACCTCAGGAAAGGGTGAAACCCATCCTTGCACTGCATCTGGTTCTGTTCTTTCCTAGGAGGTGTAGGAGTAGTTACACACAGAAATACACCTGCTGAATGGCTTTATATGTGTGTGGATGTATTGTAGTGAATAAGACCACATGCTGTTTGATGGCATTGGGTGATTCCAGGGTCTTTGACCCTGCACACTGAGCTGACCATCTTTCTCATCAGTGGCAAAGCTCTGGGTGAGGTATGTAGGTCACTCATCTGGAGGTAGTCCTGTGCTGTGATGTACCTGACTTGTGCAACGTGCCTGTCTGGAGGGGCAATCTGAATGCACACGGATGTGATGGAGGCAGTACGGAGGGGGTTGCCTTGCTGGGGGTGCTGCCTGGAAGATGGGGCTATTAGCAGCCTTCCTGGAAGAGATGCATTTCTGGGCACAGGCAGCTCACTGCTACTTACAACATGGTCCCCCAGGACTGTGGTGGCAGCCATACCATGCAGGGGGTGGACAGATGCATGCCATCACCAGTGAAGGAGGAGAGTGGAGGCACTCATCTTCATGTTGTGCTCATCTTGGCCCACCTCGAGGCTTTGTGGCTCCTGCCAATGTAGATACTGGTTAATGATGCTGTTAGGGACACGTAATTGAGGAGCATAATGCTTTTGTAATGTTGTTTTTTTGTAGGTCCTTGAGGTCCATGAAAATTTGGACAGGCAAATGCAAGACAACTATGAAGAAGACCTGAGTGAAAAGGAGAAGGCGATCGTCCGTGAAATGTGCAATGTAAGAACTCCTCTCAAGTAACTCTAGGGATTTCTTTCAAGGTCTTTTCTTAGAAGTATGGAGGAGCAGGGATCTACTCCATAGAAGCCCTGCTTGATGTGAGATCCACAGGCACAAGGGCAGAGTGGAGGCTCGGCTGACCACTGCTTTTGGGTATCAGTAACCCGAATGCCTCATTCATTGCATGGAGCAGCCTTAGCTTAGCTGGCAGTTCCCACTTTGCTGCCTTCAAGGGTGTACAGTAGCTAGTCCAGCAGACAGAGAGCTGTGCTAGGGGTGCTCCCTGGCTAGGAGAGTCCTGTTAGCACTTGACTTCACCTTGTGCCCTCAGGGCCTTGGTTTGGGCTGAGCAGCAACTGGTTGCCATCTTTAAAGCTGTACAGCTTGAATGGGTTTGAACCTAAACCGTGAGATAACATCAGAGGGAGAATCTTCTTGTCTGAAGCTGTTGGACAGCACCATGATGTGCGGAGTGCTATCAGCGCTGCTAACATGTTGGGCAACCACACTGTTAACTGAACTTGCCACATCTTCTATGGTGGGCCTTCGTACCAAACCTCTGCCATGGCATTGCCTCCAGCTGCAAAGCACCTTTGCCATGCTTTGGCTTTGAGCAGAGTTTGAGAGCAAGCATCCTTGGCAAGGTTCTGAGGTACTTCAGTTGCTGGATATCTATGAGCAAAGCCAACATGCTCTTTAGAGTATTTTGTCTGCTTAATGCCACATTCCCCTGTGCCAGGGGGAATGGTAAAACACCATAACTTTATCCTTCCAAATGGACTAATTTCTGTTTGTTCGTCATCAGCTGTTTTTTCTTTAAATATTCATTTAATGTAGGCAGATATAAAGTGCTTTGCAGCTTCTTATTTTTAAAGAAATTGTCTCCCTCCACCCAGTGGCCCTAGAGTGATAAACTGTATATTTTTAGAAAGTCATAGATGTGTATTTTTGATCATTGCCTTTTTCATTCTTTTTTTTTTGTTCATGGTAACATCTTTTCTGTAAGCATGGCAGGGGTGACCTAATATTGAACTTAACTTCTGAACCTAGTGTATTTATTTTTACTGTTACCCAAAGCAAAACCAGTTTTAGTTTCAAGAGGGACTAATTAGAAAAATGCATCAATAGTGTTTTCCATGGGAACTGGTGCGCAGGTGCCATCCAGTGTCTCTATTGAGAATTACAGCGCAGCTCTGGGAAACCGCCGATGACGACTTTCAGACTCCAATTGTAGAAATACTGCAACTTCTTACAGACTTTGGATTTTAATCCGTTTTCCCCACCCAATTATTCTTTCTTACAGGTTGTCTGGCGAAAGCTGGGTGATGCTGCGAGCTCCAAACCCTCAATCAGGCAACATCTGTCAGGAAACCAGTTCAAGGGTCCCTTGTAGGAGCGGCATCCCGGAGACTGGAAGTGATTGATTGATTCTGTGAAGACTGAAGAGGCAGAGCTCAGCGTTTCTGGCTGCCTGTTCTTTGGGAGTTGGGGTTGAGTTTTTATGGATTTTCTTTTTTTCTTTCCCCCCCCCCCCCCCCCCAGCTTTTTTTTTTTTTTTTTAACAATAGTGTAAATATGGCAGCTAAAGTCCTGATTTCCAGGCTGTGGTGCTCTGGAACTACTGTTCGATGGGTAACCATCCAGTAATGCCAGACTTGCATTATTTGTATTGTAGTTCAAACCTGCTTCATTGTAATGGTCTGTTTGTAGAATTAACTAACTCAAGAGAATTTCTATGAGGAACAAGAACCCTTAAACTGCAGAGAAGTCACAGTTTGTATCACTCCTGTCCACCCTCTTGTCAGTGATTCATAGTGGCTCCAGGCAGCACCTTCCAAGGAAAATGCAACTTGAATTTGTTGGCTTACTGCCTGCCAAGCTCTTGAGCTGCTAACACTTGCTTTTGGAGGTCCTCATTCAGAAGAATGACATGCAACTGTTTTCACAAAGCGCTGTGGAAAATACAGAGTGGTGAGCTAAAAACGCCAGCACCATTCTGCACTGTATGGTGGTACTCACCACACAAGCCTGCAGAAAGGCATGAGACTCCGTATCATCTGTTAATGAACTGTTTTTCCTTAAAAATGACACGAGATATCTGCAGTCACAATGTGAATGAAGTCACTTAGCCACACACCAATATTCCCTACAAACATGGCAGCACTTTCCCTGTAAATCTTCTACTACAGAGTAATTCATCAGAAACTGCCATCCTCACAGTGCTTGTGGTGTTCACAGGATCTTCAAGAGCAGCAAACCTTTCACATAAGGAAGATTCGGGTGATTTTTTTAATGTCTTGCTGGATCCCTCACCTGTACTGGTTCCTGTGTAAGGTGGCTGAACAACAACCTTGTGAAGCTGAATAAAAATGCCATAAACACAGGCTGTCGGCTGAGACTACTTTCTGCTATTCAAGCTTTATTTTTATTAATGAACCAAAACAAGTGGGTTTTCCCCCTTCAAATGGTTGTATATAAAACAATGGGACTTACATTCTCCTATTGTGGAGTAGCTGCTTGTATAGTTGTAAGAATTTTCCCCCCTTCTTTTCCAAGTTGTCAAAGCAGCTGCCCCTGTATTTCATTAGATGTTCTTTCCCAATAGTCCAGGCAAGCAGGGCTGGGTTGTTAAACTCATTGGTGTGAAATAATTTTAAAGACAGGCATGTGAAAAGATCAAAGCCTCCTCTTCAAATGTTGCATTGATTACAGTGATTAATTTGAAGATTTAATGACCTCAAACACCATCACTTTCTTTTTATCTCCATAAGAATCGGTCACAGCTAGAGACAGCTGAATTAACTGGACAGGTTCTTCCTCTTAAATTAATTTGTTCTACCAGTTGAGTTCTTTGATTTGTGGTATTGTGTTAACAAGGAGCACTGATACAATACCAAGGAGCTCTTGCTGCAAGTTATGAAAGGTAATTGGTCCCATGGTATACAATAAACTAGCTGCCTGGGTGAAGAATTTGCAGTGTCAGAGCTGGAATCTGTAACCAGTAAAAAATAAGAGAAGGAATACAATCAAAATGCACAGTATCCAGTAAGAGTAAGCACCACTTCATTATTCATTTCAGAAACAAAAATGTAACAGTCGAGTAGGTTATTTTTTAAAAAGAACCATCCCCCAAAACACACACATACTCTCACTCGTACATTTACCTGTAGCTTATTTCTTACTCAGTATGAAATAAGCTCTCAGCCCGCAAACACTGAGTTAGCTAACTCTTAAGTGTAGTAATATTTACATACTATGGAGTCAGGAAAAATCCATTCTAGAGTCTGTCTCCTTTAAAATATAGCATCTTTGGAGGATTGTGGATTTCCTCCTCTTCGCCTTGTGTTTTGACCACCAGTTTTTAGTCACCATTGATTGTCTTCCTTCTGTACAATTTATACCTTAAGATTGTTGTTCCAGAAAAGGTGATGTAAAGCAGACATCATTCTTCCTTAACATCTAGTATCAAACAGAGGGTTACTTTAATCTGTCTGCTTGAAAGCCCATTCTAATTTTGGTGGCATTCAATCGCTGGATTAAGTGGAGAATTTAAGCATATTGGGAACAAGGCTAATTTACATCAGTGAATTTTAACTAAAGCAATGCAAATGTTGCCAGCACTTGTAGAGTTGTGTTGATGAGATGCTTGCTATTTTAGGAGTGCGTTAGACTAGTCGGTCCTCTGAACAAGACAAGAGCTGTATTACTAATCTGATTACTAGTCCCTCCAGCTATGTAATGCTCAGATATTCCCTGCCATCAGATCTCTCTCAAAAATCTGTTCAATGACTTCAGGCAAAGCTTGTTTTATTCCACCTGCAGATCTCATCTCCAAAGGAAAGAGTGCTGCAATTGAGGTCTATTAGTGCTGCAAATCCTGAAGAGCCAGTTTACAGGGTAGGCAGTAGTTCAGCTGAATAACCTTCATACTCTTAGGGTAGAGTCCATTTTTCTTAAGATTCTCTTTGGCAGCGTAAATCTTCAGTGTAAAAAGTGTGTCACTGATATTGCAGAAGAACATACTGTATGTTGGGATGTTCTTGTCTGGGGGCTTTTAGAATTGCTGCTCTTCACAGTTAGCTCCATTTGAGCTGTAAAGTGTCTTCCTTGGGTAAAATGACACTCAATGACTTTACAGGATGACTTGGGTGCTGAATTTTCAGTTGTCTAAAAAGATGGTGTTTATGCATATTTAGATGCATTCACCAATGTTCTAAGTCTTCTGTGAAAGCTACCTGAAGAGCTTTATGTATTCAGTTGGACGGAAGCATCCCTTGAAATAGTGGCCATTAAGTTGATATATTTTGAGCAATAGTCCAAGTTAATTTCCTCAAGATTGAAGCCCTGGGTTCTGCAATCCTCTGACAAAGAAAGCATCCACTGTTTACACACGGGCTTTGCTTACTTAAGGAAAGTAAAATCACATCCTTGACTTTTGTTGGAGTGGCTGAAGTAAGCAGCATTTCCCTAACAGTTTTGGAAATGCTGTGGTGTAACCAGCTTCAGCTGGCTCTCTGCACCTTGCTAAGACTGCTGAGCACAACCTTGTTTTGAGAATGGCACATTTTTTATCCAAATACTAGATATAAAAAGAAATCAGTGTTAAAGTGACCTTTTAACTTTCTAAAAACTGGGGGGGGGGGGGGGGGAGATTACTACTGATCTTCTTCAAAGTGCATGACTGTAAAGTGATAAAATTGTATATTTTTCATAATGTGGAGAAAGTCTATTTGTGCTGCTTTAGAAATCAGTTTTAAAGTTTGATTTCTGTTAAACCTGTGATCTTACAGCCCTGCTCTATTTTCTGTATATGATTTACAAAGAACTGGAAAAGTCAGCACCTGCTGTTGTGTATATAGCAAAATTCTTTAGACCTTAGCACGCATTTTTACCTGTTACTGAACCACTCTGGCTTTTTAGGGGCGGGAAAGTAATAGTACAGATTTTTTTAATAACGTGTGTAAAACATTCATTTGAAATATTTTAGTAAAAATGAAGTAAGAGATTGATTGTGATAGTGTATACTTCTAGTTGAATACAATAAAATACATCCTTTTTAAATAAACTGATGAGTAAGATTTGGGAGACCCCTGCTGAAATATCTTGCAATAAGTACCACAGTTATGAATTCTGAACTAATAGGAAAAACCTGGAAATCCACTAAATTCAGAACCAATTTTATTTGAGTAGATGTGAGCAAGGTAGTCCCATTTATAACCAGAATGTTCATCACAGTAGGCCGTTACATTCAGACTTTCACACTTACAAAATATATATATTATGTACAGGAATTTGCAAATAGGTGTAAACATACAATACTTTAAGATACCAGTACATTCCAAACCAAAAATATCAGCAAGGCCAACACCTCAAAATGATTCCAGTCAGCTAGCACTCAGAATCTTTCTTAAATACAGTAGCTTTTACGCTTGACATTGTGTTGTTTTAATTGCTAAACACTAAGGTTTCTTATAACATATCAAATTTCATGGTATCTGGCTATTTTGATAGGCAAAAATAGGCACTGATTTCTAGAAGGAAATTTTCTTCTTGCTGATACAATTGAGCCAATATGGCTGTTTTTCTAGTACAAAGTAATCCAGTGCTGGAATAACTCAAGACAATTTAAACTTAAGTCAAATGTATAAAGTTAGGATACTGCAAAGCTGATTAAAATCTAGAAGCCTATATAACTCACCATAAACAATACTGCAAACAAATCAGCTAAATTTTCATTTCACCTCCTCATTTCTTCATCTAAATTATACAAATTACCCTCCTCTTCATCTTTACAATGTAGGTTTTGGCTAGCTACTCCTGCCTAGAAACGGATATCGTGCAAATTACCTCATGCTATCTCATCCATGTAGCACGTCCAAGTCCTGCTACAGGTGGCATACCAGGTGGTGGAATTGGAGGTGGTACAGGTGGCTGTCCACCTGGGGGAACAGTAGGTGGGGGGTAACTGGCTGGTGGCATTCCCAGCCCTGGAGGTGGATGAGGTGGTACTGCATGAGTTGGAGGCAGTCTTGGAGGTGGGAAATTAGGGTTGTATGTGGGTGGAGGAGGATATCCTGGAGTAGGAGGTGGAATATTGGGTGGGGGGAAAGAAGTAGGGGGTGGAGGTGGAACTGGTGGTGGAGGGTTGGGAGGATAGACATGAGGATGATACGGTAGATGAGCTGGTGGTCCATAGGCCGGTGGTAAACCTCCGTAAGTTGGTCCTTCTGTTTTCATCATTGACTGAAGACTCTGATAACCCTCCCCTGACATATAGGAATTTGTAGTAGACATCCCTGTAATGTAACTGGTGGGGGGTGGGGGCGGGGGACGATGCGGCAGAGGTGGAGGTTGATGTACTGGGGCAGGATGAGCAGGAGGAGGAATCTGGACCTTTGGCATATCTACTGAGTCCACAGTAGTAGATTGCTCTCCTTCTCCCATTGAAACTGCAGTTGTCAAAGGAGGCTTGCGCTCTGGAAAAGAAAATTTCATTCATTTTTTTGAAGGATAGTGGCAATATCAGCTCCTGAATCCTTTACATTTTATTTCCAGTTAACTTATTAAAGAAGGACTCAATTCTCCAAGTCTTTGAATGCCATATGATACTCAGTTAGACCTTCTTATGCCACCAGAAAATAAGCTGCCTAACAAAGATCCAAGGTCAGCTTTTCCCATTCTAAAACTTAAATGCATCTTCCTTTCTTACTACTATTTTCTTACAATTTAAATATTGTTCTGCAGCCAGCAGAAAGCAGACTGGATGGACAGAATCACAACTAACAGATTCAGAAGTCATGGGACCCAAGAAACCAAAAATCTTTTGATGATGCTTCAATCTTCTTTAGTCCAGAAGAAGGACTCCTTTCTTCCTCTTTTATACCCCAGGAGATGGCCTGGGATTACCCTCTGCACTTCACTTGCCTCCCACATTTGGAAATCATTTGAGAATACAGTCCAAAGTCTCAAGACTTTAACAGTCGGTTCTAAACCTGTTTATAAAATGAAAACTGGAGGGTAAGTAAGAAAGAGCAACAGGTTGCTTGGGACATGAAATCTTATCAGCTTTTTTCCACTGATTCCAGGGAACTCCCTACCAGACAGTTTAGGAAAGTTCATGAACAGGTCAGAAATTTACAGAACTATACTTGGCCATTTCTGGGAAGAACATGCTTTAAGCTGTCTTCTCTTTAAATAAAAATCCAAGTTATTTTTTTTTTTTCTCTTGATGCAGACACTATAAAGTAAGGAATACCACAATGAGAAGACTGACCTAAGGGCAAGATCTCTCTACGGTCATACAGTCAGTATTAAAATGCCCACCAAAACAAGAGCTTGGGGCATCTTGACATCCACCTTGCTTTGTATATATAAAAATCTAAGACATTCTTCAGTAAGAAAAGTTATTTAGAAACAGATGTAGGGCAGTAATTTCCAGTGACATACAACAACTAAACAGACAGTGCTAAACAGATTTTGAGAAATCCACCTTCTAGAACTTCTGTTCATTTGGTCAGTAAGCATTCTTGATTTTTCCTCAGAGCCCCCCACAACAACCAGTTGGCCTCTAAAGATTCTTAAAATATTTCAATGCTTATACAGTGATTTACTTGCATAAATTCTAAGAAGAAAATTTTAGATAACATGGGAAAAAAATTCATTACCTGCCTGCACAGGATTTACCATATCTAAGCAGTCCTAAGTTTAACAGCAAAATTGTCCCCTGGGACGACTACATAATTAGATCACGCAAGGTGGGTATGCTGGCTGTGGTACCTATGATTTCAATGACTTCTGGTTCCCAAATTATAGCAGGCAGTAATTTTCCCATTTGCTTATTTTCAGAATAATTCTGGATGCAAGACATGCACTCAAGATTTAACAACTGAAGGAATAGTAAACACTGAACTCCTTCATTCTTAATTTGATTTTTAACAAAGAGGAAAAATGGTCTTACTATATTTCAGAGCACTTATTCTCTCTTGTAGTTCCCTACTAGAAGCTGTCATCTTAGAGTTACATTATGGACCACGCTTTATAAGATATTTATGTCATATTTAAGGGTCACTGGAAGGACAGCTAATGCATCAAGTCACTGGAAGCACATTTTTATAACAGTACAATTCATTTTGCAAACATAAGTCATGTGCAATGTTAAAGTTCTCTGGCAGATACAAGCCCCCTTTTGGGAGACAGCAAAGAAAGCGTCCCCCTTACTGTTCAGAAGTTAGACACCTGCAGAACTTCTATACTAAGGATGCAACATGGAGGACTTCTGTAGGACAACTGGAAGCTACTTTAGTAATGTAATATGGCATCTGCCATCCTTTTGAGCACGTAAGTCCCTTTTCTGCCTGCTAGTGACAATTATAGTCTTCTAGGCCTTTAACAGTCACAACTCTGTTTTGCCTTTGTCCACCTAGTACAGTCTTGTTTCCGTCATAGCCTCTTTGCGTCTGTATGGAAAAGCCTGTGCTACCAAGATCAAATTCCCTCTAGAGCTTACGTACCTTTTACTTGCCAAGCTGATTAATCAGGTCAACAACCCCTGCCCCCTCACTGTGACCATCTTCTGAATGAAAAGCAAGGCAATTAACAGCAAGAGCAAATGTATTTAAGAAAATGAAAGCTTACCTGGAGGTGGATGTGCAGGAGGTATTGGTGGATGTGAAGTTTCAATTTTAGGAATTTTAGATGGTGGTGCTTCTAAAAAACATTTGGAAGTTCCTAATTGGGCATTGCTTTGCAATATTTTCCAAATTCTAACTCTGGTCTCACACTAATGATTATCATATTACACTAAGCAAAAGTACAGTGGAAATCCTACATACTAGCTACGTTTAATAAAAGAAAGCTAAAATAAAGACCTTTGTATAAATAAAGTGGCATCAAGCATTACACAGAAGTCTTCTAAAGAACACATGCCTGTAAGTTCAAACTGTGTATTTTTTAACTAGGGACAAGTTGTCCAATAACAGTAGATAAGTGAAGACGAGCATATGTACGTTTTTCTAGCACTAAACTGTACCTTGCAAATAGTTTAAACAAATCTAAGAAAATGTTGAATTATTCTCTGCTAGGGGACATGTGTCTAGAAATAAAACTGCAATTGCACAGGAGGGAGAAGAGACAGCTCTCTGGAATCTACCTGCAGAGCTGGAGAGGGGGGAACTGACAGACTTACTTAAGGAAAGGTTACAGAATCACATCATAGCTATCCCGAAATACATTGCTCCAGAAGAGCAAAATGAAGAAAACCCCCCAAACAAAAAGAACTAGATGTGATCACTGCAATGAAGCATTTCTTTATCTAGACTATTTATTAATACGAAATACTTTTCACTGGCAACCATGCCAACAACTAATTACAAATGTCACTGACAACCAACAGACATATCATTAGTGCAGCTATTTAATGACATGGCACCTTCAATTACTTCAAGGTCCTACCACTTGCTGAAGAACTACTCCAAATGATGCACAGAGTTACACATTGAGAGTTAAGTAGGCTAGCAAGACTTCTACTGAATAGACCGTATTAAGGGGCTGCACTTGCGAAAAAGTTATACTCCACTTTTTCAAGTTTTGCATTTTGGAACACTTTAAGTTGCAGTATATATTTAAAGGAACATTTATTGTTACAGTATATATTTAGAGACACATCATTAGAATCAGAATAGTTTCAAACTACCAAGGCTGTAAGCAAACAAACTAAGTGTACATCAGCAAATTACTTACTTTGCTTAAAACAGTAAAATGCAAGCAATATAGAATATCATCCTTTACCTTGTGTCTTTGTCTCTTCCTTTGGAGACACAGCCTGTTTAAAAAAAAAAAAAAAAAAGAAATAAGACCTTTGCAAATTACAAAGCATTTTAAAATTCTAATAAGTGAGCAAAACAGGAAACAACTTGCAACCTGCTGAAAAGTATTTGTATGGTTCAGACTAAAACAGAACCAGTTTCCAACTCAGAACCAGTTTCCTCCTCCCTTCCATAAAAGGACGCAGGACAAACCCTTTATTTATTCCTGTCTTTTTATTAGGAGGCTAATAACGTCCAGTCTCTTTAGACAGATG